GCTGCAGGGTCCATCAAGCCTCTCTCTTCCTTCTACACTGACTGCGCTCCACATGGAGCACCTCCAAAGTGGCGCAGCTGCCAAGATCAAGCTCCTCCAAAGACTGAGACTTCTCCACGGGAGCGGAGCAGGCGGGGTGGCAGGAAACCAAGCAGGGTGGCTTCCTGCCTTTCTCAATTCCTGGGCCCTGCCAACCTGCAAGGGGAGGCCCCCATGCTGAGATCTGCAGGAGCTGATTCAGCCAAGTTAACACAATGTATCAACTAACACAGACTCAAACACATCATTTTGCACCTCCTTATCAATGGTTTTCTTAGAACTGCCCATTTGCCATTCAATACCCCCAACCTTCCTGTACTCAAACCCAATGGCTCCTATTGTTTAGTTGAAGATCTCAAATTGTTAATAATATGGTTACACCTATTCACCCAGTAGTGCCAAACCCCAACACTATGCTTTCTCATAACCCTCCTTCCACCACTCACTTTACTGTCCTAAACCTTAAAGATGCCTTCTTCACTATTCCCTTACACCCAGATGGCCAGGACCTTTTTGCAATTACATGGAATGATCCATACACTCTCTGACCCCAACAGCTCACATAGACAGCGAGACTAGGTTAATTTAACCATTTATTAACTATGTTTCCCTGGCAAAGTAACTAGACTTCTCTGAGGTTAATAAAATTGATATAATAATTTTTTACTTTTAGGTTTATTATAAGGATTAAAGAGTACAACTGTGCTGTGACTGATGGTAATTTGGTTATTATTTGTGATAAAGATGTGGCAAAAACTCATGCATAATACTAGGTAAGGGGCTGGGGATATAGCTCAGCAGTATAAACACCTGCCTGGCAAGCGGAAGGTCCCAAGTTCAATCCCTGGCACCGCATGCCATTCAGGTCATACAGTGCTGGCCCTGGAAATGGGCATGGTGTAATCCCAGCACTCAAGGTTGAGACAAGAGGATTGCTCTGAGTTTGAGACTGGCCTGGGGGCTACAAAAGTGAGCACAAGGTCAGCCTGAACTGCATAGCAACCCTGTCTATAAATTAATTAATTAAAAAATATGAGGGAAAAGGTTTCAGTTATCATTGTTCAGTCATAATTATCCTTACCTCTGTAGATTTAGGCTTTGAAAACTACCTTTTCTATTTTGTTTTCTTGTTTAACTTAAGGCTAAAAGCTAGTGATAACCTTCTTAAACTACAATCTATGGTGATTTCTCTGTGTAATTTTTCTGTGTTTTTTAATCACCTTTTATAACATTTTACTTAATCATTGACAATAGCTGTGTGGCACAAAACTCGTAAGAATTTTATTTGTATGTGTTTTGGATTCAGTAGAGACCATTACCACATAAATATGGATTATGCTGCTCATGTGGCAGGTGTGTAATAAATAGAAGCTTAAGGTAGAATAACAATGACTTGATTTTCTGTGATTCTGTACATTACTAAAGTGGACTACTAATGTTAGCCAAGAGGGAATAAGATATAATTGCTTGCCTAAAGTGATAATATCTTTCCAGTGTATCTTTTAAATGCCAATGAGGCAGATGCTTTCAGGGAGAGGCTGTTTTCATTTGGGTGATGGGAAAGATCAAATGAGGGTGATAATTAAAATAAGACCAAAATGTAGCATGCATAGATGAGATTTATGCTAGTAATTGAAGAATTCCTGGAGATAAATTATTGCTTACTTTGAAATATTCTATAAGAATATTTATGTAAAATAAGTCTTCATGTATGTTACATAGAAATTTCATAGAAATAAAATGAGCTTCGAAGAGAGGGAAATACTTGACCATCTAGAGAACTACACTGAAAAGATGGGACTTCAAATTTAGGAGTATCAGAAAATAAGCATATTGGTTTTAGTTTTGTTGTTAATTCCTTTTTTGTATTTAACTTTTTAAAAGCAGTCTCCAGGTCCAGGGAGATGGCAAGGACCTGAGTTCAACCTTTGGTTCCACCAAAAAACAAAAAAGCTTTAAAAGCAGTCTCCTTTTATGTAATAATTCACATTTGATTATTCAGTAATTTTGTAGAAAAAATTCAGCTATCAGTAATAAGATAATACTACCTTTTTTCACCTGAGGAATATTCATTTTGTTCCTTCTTACTAGTTGTATGTGTTACTCTGTTTTCCTATCTTTTCTTTTCCTAGCAAACAGAATGATAGCTTATTGTTGGGAAAATTAAATATGGTAATATATGTAGAGTATATGGCACATACTAATCATTCAGTTTTAAAAGTTGCTTATATATAATCCTTCGGTTCATAAGCGTGATGATTGGGTGTTCATGTCTTATAATACATGAGATGTGCCGCCATCAAACCTTGTTACGACGTGGGCACGTTACCCTTCTGATGTGAAAAAAAAAGTTGCTAATATAATTTATAGTTAAGGTGTTCATTTTTATCTCTTTGTATTCATCTTGTTTTAGAAATATGAGAATAATAAATGTATTAAGTTGCTGAGTTTGCTTTATGCTTTGCAAGGAGGTGAATTATAGCATCTTTTAAAATGTAGCCATATTGTCAATAATTGTATCTGTGTGTAGAATGAAGTAAACATGTTAGAATATATCTGGCTACACCAATAAAATGTTAGACATTTTAAATTCGTATATAGATTTGTAGTATAAATCTTCAACCCAGTTTGTTTTTATGAAGAATGGCCTGTGTGGAAGTAATTTAACCTGACAATATGTTCATGTTGAAGCTGGGCTGTTCATTAGACTTGATTCATGCCTCTTTTGTAGTTTTTTTGCTTTTTTTAAGACAGTATCTGTCTGTGTAATTGAGGTTGACCTGAAATTTGGTTTGGTGTGCATCCCAGGCTGACCTCAGGTCACAGTCCTCCTGCCTCAGCATTTTTGTTGTTGTCATTTTAATTTTTTTAATTATCTAAAGAGAATATAAGATAATAAAAAAAATAGAAACAATACAGAACTTCACCAAACAAAGCAACAGGAATTCAGCTATGGCCTCGACCTCCTGAGTGCTGGGTCTACAGGCATTGACCACCACACCCACCTGTTGTGGACTATATTAAAAATACCAGTTGTTTTCCCTTACCATTGATTTTCTAGGAGATGAAGCTAAATAGAGATGTGTAGAGCTGGGTGTGATGGCACATGCCTGTGATCCCAGCATTCTGGAAGGCTAAGGCAGGAGGACTACAGTTTTAAGCTCAGACTGGGCAACTTAATGAAACCCTATCTCAAAACAAAAAGTGGGCTGAATTATATCTCAATGGGAGGGCCTTGAGTTTATTCTCCAGTATTGGGTAGATGGATACTGGCATATGTTTAACAGACAAGTTGTTGGAAGTGAATGGAGGTAGTGGGCACTGTTTTGTGTGTTTGCTGATTTCCATGGTATAAATACTTCCCCTCACTGAAGTTCTGAAAATATAACATAGCGACTTCCATGAGCTGATACAGACTGACTGTAGCAGTTAACACTGAAAATATAACATAGCGACTTCCATGAGCTGATACAGACTGACTGTAGCAGTTAACACTGAGGCTCTGAGGTATCTTTTTTTAATTTTTTAACTAAGTAATTCTCATGCAAGTAATTTGCCAACCAGTTTTTTTTTTCTTTTTCAAAAATACAAATCTGATTTCAAAACCTTCTCATGTCACCTACATACAGTGCATAGAAATTATTTGTAGGTTTTGAAATCTAACTAGTATTATTCTGCCCCATGCTTTTTTATTATTTTCCTTTATGCTTGAATGACGTTACCTCATCTGCCTGGCTTTTGCAGTAATGTTTATTTCTTTTTCTAGAAGTAACTCAAATGCTACTTGCTCTTATTTCTTACTGTTGGAAATATCCCCATTCTCATTAGTGGTCTCATGGCTCTTTGTTTATATACTTCACTTTACCTCAAATTTATCACTATCAAATGTCTGTTTTACTCACCAGATTATAAATTTCTAATAATTACCTTTGAATCATCTGTACATAAAACATCAATAAATGTTATTTTAGTAGCAAGAATTGAGCCAGGAAGATAGCTAGTAGAATAAGAGCTTGTTTGGCAAGTGGAAGGTCCTGAGTTCAATCCCGGGTAACGCAAGAAAAAAAAGGAAGGATTGTAGAAATAAATGATATTGCCTTTGTTTTCCATACTTTAGGGAAACAGACCAAAATTTAAGCTTTTGAAAATTTTATTATGTCCTTAAAGGTAAATTCATTGTCAGTCTGTTGCTTTCTGGATTTCTTTCCCCATTCCCTAGACCTAGGATCTTGCACAAACTAGGCAAGCACTCCAGCTCTGAGCTACATCCTTTCTTATTTTGCGAGTTTCGCTTTGTTGGGCAGCTGGCCTTGAACTTGGAATCTTCCTGTCTTGAACTCTCAAGTAGCAGGGATTACAAACATGTACCACTGTGTGCAGCTACTGTATGTATTTTATCTAGAATCTAATGTGCTTCACAAAAAGTATTGACAGGATCTAAGTGTATGAAGGAATTGTTCTGAAATGCAAGCAACCCAAGAATTTCTTGAAGTAAATGCAGCACATTCTTTGAGTTTAATGTTTCCAGGATTTATTTTCTTCATTTTTTACCCTGAGCTGCCACCTGATGGCAGAAATTAAAATGACATATTTTATGACATTGAAAACTTGCATTACAATTTTTAGATTTTTATGTGTTCACCATTGACACTTTGATGTGTCAAATATGCACCATATGCATACTTGTACATATAGTGTATACTTGATAAATGTTTGATAATTAGTTTGGATCTCAAGGAACTCCAGTGGCACAATTGGTTAGCACATGGTACTTACATTGGACCTCAGGAAAATCATCTTTATTAGTAAGCATTTGTAAGACGGTGATTTTTCTAAAGAAATCTCCTTAAAGTCTTGCTTTCTTCCTTCCTTCATGGAATACTATAAAGAACCTATTTTTGATTAGTTTTATTAATGAAGAAATTAAGTCTGATAATTTTCTCTTTCTTTTCTTTCTTTAGAACGAAATCACTCAGATACTGTAGTGTTCTTTTACCTGTGGATCGTCTTTTGTATCATCAGTTCCTGCTATACCCTGATCTGGGATCTAAAGATGGACTGGGGTCTCTTTGATAAGAATGCTGGAGAAAACACTTTCCTCCGGGAAGAGATTGTATATCCTCAAAAAGTAGGTACAAAGTATTTGTGTTTGTGGGCTGGTGAGATGGCTCAGTGGTCTAAAGCACCTACTTAGAACAAGCTTAGCAAAGCACAGGGACCGCGGTTCAATCCCC